AAAGCCAGTTCTCATACCTCTGGAGTGGACTTCCCTGCTATCTCTGTACCATTTATGTTCAGAAGAAGAAGAGTTGGTGGTATTACAGTTCTTGGGGACCCAATTTCCAGGAAATGACAGTACCAAAAATGTGACCAACAGCTGTAATAAGCCTAGCAGGAGGGCTGGGGGTGTAGTGTAGTTCAGTTGGTAGAGCGCTGGCCTAGCATGTAAGAAACTCTGGGTTAGATATCCATGGTGGTGCATGTCTGAACCTCTACCACACCAGAGGTGGATGCAGGAAGGTCAGAATTTCATGGTTAACTTCAGCTACACATCAAGTTCAAGGTGAGCCCAGGCTACATATGACATTGTCTAGAAGAGGAGCTTGAGGCTGCAGCCATGACACATGGAAGGGGCCATCGGTGCTCAAGGCAGAGCTGGATGGGCCTCTGGAGCCACTGTCCTTTTCCTTCCTCTTCACCTCTTCATAGACCAGAAAATTGGGGTCAAAATGGAGAGGTGAGGTGTGGGGCCGGAAGCTTTATGATCCACAAAACCACACCAGGGTTTCCTATCCTTCATCAAGAAGGCTCTTTGGGGTGTGCCTGAGTTAGCAGAGCTCTGCAAAGAAACCTTGGTCCCCAGCACTGCATAAAACTGGACATGGTGGTGGGACATGCTTATAATCCTAGCACTCAGGAGGTAGAGGCAGGAGGATCAGAAGTTCAAGGTCATCCTTGGCTACAAAGTCAGTTTAAGGTCAACCTGGGATACCTGAGACCCTGGAGAGAAGGGAGGTTTGGGTGGGGGTGGGGAGCTTTGTTCCTTCTGTAAAGATCTGCCCTGTAGCCTTACCCAAGGGACAAGCAGGCTGGCCCACGGACTGCAGGTGGAGCTGGAACCCTCTATCTTTTGGGTGGTGATATGGATACATGCATGTCCCATCACCTGTGATCTGCATACCTTGAAATATATCCTTTTTTTCTGACCTTGGGTCCTCACTCATACCATAGGGAGATCAAACCAAATGAGCCCCGAAATTCTTTTCATCTCTGACATTCAGGCAATTCTTGAGCCTCTGACCTTCTCCAGGGACAGTGCTGTCCATCACAGAATGGAGAAGCTGGAACCTCTAGCAGATGAAAGCGTCAAGCATCAAGACATCAAACAGGCGTACTCTGAGGCAAGAGTGAGGGTATTAATGTGATTAAAGCTGTACACAGACATACTTTGATTTTTCACCTGCCTGCTAGGCTGAGCATTGTCTGAGCCCCCAAGAAAGTGCTTGGGAGTAGAAGTATCCTGGGGCCAGGTCTGGGGGTTCAGGGAGCTGTTTTCTGAGTTTCCAGACCCCAAGACTTGGTGGGAGAGGGTACCAGGTGGGCTTCTGTGCAGAAAGTAGCAAGTGTGTGAATTCTACTTCTGCTCCCATAGAGGTGGGTTCCTGGGGGTCCATTCCCACCACTCAAGCTAATGCCCCTCTTTGTTTTGGGCCCAAGCCTACTTCCTCTTCAAACCAAAGCTCAGCCCTGGAAGGGACATACAGGGTCTTTCTTGTATAGCCCTCACACCCTACTTCCAGCCCTCCTTGCTCTCAGGAAAGCAGGCACATAGACCTGCAGGGACACACCCTGGAACGGGAAACTGGGTACATTAAAGGGCCCTCTTCCTGGTTAGAAAGTTCCCCTCCTTATTGCAGGTTAAGGTTGTCCATTAGCAGCCATTGATCCAGACCTCTTTCTGCAATGTGTAGAGAAAGGGTAAGAAGGAAAAAAAAAAAAAAAAAAAACCTTCACTGTAAAGTTAAATATGCATGATCCCAGAGTACACAGCAGGGCCTGTGCGGCTGCCAATCTAGACTGGCAGGGCTTGGAATCCTGGGATTGTTCTGTGGTGGCAGGGAGCTTAGTGATCATCGGGGTCAATGTCTTTGTTCAACTGAGGGAGGACTGAGGCCCACGGTCACATGGCATTCTGGGACTTGAGGCCCCTCTCCGGAATGCTGAGGACAAATGAGGCGAGGCGAGTCCTTGGAGTTTATACTGGGTCCCCAGCCCCACCCAGCCTCTTCACCATGAGGCTCTGAAATCAGAAAAACCCAAATGCTGATCCCAGATCTTCTACTTCCTATCTGTGGGGCTCTGGGCCACTGATTTAGCCTCCTGGAGCACTTCACCATCTATAAAATGGGAAGAATCTTTATCTACTCCTCGAGATTGCAAGATTTAGTCAACACAGCAATTACATACGAGCTTTCTGAATGCCAAGCACTGAGGGCCAAATAGAGAACTTCAAGGTTTGTTCAATGCAGAAACATGGATAAAACACACAACAACTGTTCAGGGCTTAGTTCTGCTCACGCTAGCTGAGGTGCCACTGAGGGACCTGGGGAGGGTCCGCTCCTTTCTCTATCTCCCTGCTTCCAGAGTGAGTTGACTATGGGAAAAAGACCCATTCCAAGGACCTGGTGCTCAGGATCCAGAACCATCTGGAAGAAATAAAAGAACCTTTTTGAAATGTCTAGTGACTCTTCTCCCCTCCTCTCCTCTCCCCTCCCCTCTCCTCCTTTTCTTCCTCTCCTCTCCTTCCCTCCCCTCCCCTCCTCTCCTCTTCTTTCTTCTCCTCCTCTCCTCTCCTCCACACCACAAAGCCTGTCCAGAACAAAAGTCAGATTCCCTCTTAGAGCCTGAGGGCATCTAGTCCCAAAGCCAGCCTGGAGAAGGAGGTACAAGATGTCTGGGTCCCTTCCATGGTCAAAGGTCTTTAGGCCTACAGATCATTTTGCTACCCGGATGCTCACACATAGGAAGTGGAGGGAGCATGGGCTGCTCTCAACTGTGGTCCCAGGTCCACCCCATTACAGGTCACAGAGATCAGGCTCACACCTTCTATCTTGATAAGCCCACAAACTGTCACACTGTTTACATAGAAGACTGAAGCCCAGCAAGGCAATGTGCTGACTGGGGCCATACACCAGCCAAAGGCAGACTCAAATATCAGCACCTGGCTGGGTGTGGTCTCAGCACTTGGGGAGGCAGATCTCTGAGTTCAAGGCTAGCCTGGTCTTCAGAGTGAGTTCCAGGACAGCCAGAGTCAGGGCTACACAGAAAGACCCCTCCTCAGATGCCTGATGTTGATCAGAAGGCTCCCAACCCTAGGCATGGAGCAGTGCAGGGTGCCAGGCTAACCACAGGGTGCTTATGTAAGGACAGGCTTCTGACTCTGGATCCCCTGGGCTTTCTGCTGCCTCCCCACATCTGCTAGCAATTACAAGTCCAGCTCCCCACACACACACACAGAGGAAAAGAGGCTGCTGATAACACTGCCCTGCCATGCTGTTGTCTGAAGTACTTGCCAGACAGCCTCCCTCCTTGCTCAGGACCAGAGATGGGGAATCTTAAAGCATCCAGGCCTGAAGCTACACTTTCTGTTGGGGATGCTGGAAGCCAGAGGAAGCCCTGCAGGAGTGAGTGAGGGCTCCCTGGTGATGCATTGCCAGGACATATGGGGTGCAGCCTCTGGGTTTGCTTCAACTCCAGCCTAAACACTAGCCCTGATGCTGTGGTAGTCACTTAGCCACGGTTTCCTTGTCTGCAAACAGGGATGACAGAACTGACTCCGAAGACTTGTTGTAAGGCACACAAAGTGGGTTACAGCAGGCTCACCTGTGGCAGTGTCCCTGTGACTGCACGTCTCCTGTGCCGGGACCCCAGGGGCTCCTGCCTGGAGACAGCAAGACCGAGCCCTTTAGAAAGACCTGTGGGAGGGATCAGTGAATCCCGGCCACCACTTTCTCACGGCCAACTCAGGGCTGGGCACAGAGCAGCCAGAGCAGGGTCCAAACAGGTTGTGGTGTGCAAACAGCAGCAGAGAAGCCAAGTAGTAGGAAAGGCATGCCAGGGACCTGAAGACTAGAGGGACCAGGGAGGGCTGCCTGGAAGAGACATGATTGGAAGGACCAGGGATCCTTGGATTGGAAGGACCAGGAGAGGGATATGACTATAAAGAGCATTCCAAACAAGCTGGATGGAGGGGAGGGCACATGCCCACAGGCAGGGTGGTGCAAATTCCTTTCACAAATCCTGGAATCTAACCGCCTGGAACTAAGAAACCAAGGGTCCAAGTCTGTCTGGGGCAGTGGTATAGAGGAAGTTTAGTCACTTCGGCCCTGTTACCAGGCAGTGGCTCCAGTTTTGGTGGTTGTCATATCAAGGTAGAGGAAGAAACCACCCCTGCATCCCGGGGGACATTCAGAGTGCTGGGACATTCCTTCTGCAGTGAGCGAGAGGGCTGGGGCTCTCTGCAGACTTGAGGAAGCTACCGAAAGACCTGGACGAGAGGGAAGTATGATGGGACTCGGTTCAGATTTTAGGATAGAGTGAAGGAGTTGAGTCCTGAGGGAGAGAACGAATAGGGAAGGACCATGAACAGAAGGAAGCGGCGCAGCTTCAATCGCCTTTCACACAGGAGCCCCCCAACCTGACATCCCGGAACTAGACCCCACCCCAGCCACATGACCACTAGGCTGGTTTGTAAACTTCCCTCCATCCAAAACTTGGAGAGTCAGAATTTTCTCAGTGGCTAGGGGCTTAGAAGGACATCTTAGGAATCTGGAAAATTTGCAAATCTATTTAAAATCTGCCTGGCAGTTGACTGGACTGGAGCCAAACTTAGTGTTTGGCACAAGACTTGGTCCCTGGGACAGGGGCTAGCTAGGATCCTGAGGTTCCCCACTTCTATGAAAGATATTAGCTACCTCTGGATTCCCCTCCCCTGTCTCTACTACCTCTTCCCATTCCCCATAGACTTTGTTGTACCTTGGAGATCCTGCTCAATTGGCACCCAGAATGCTCTGGGGGTGTCTGAAGAGGTCAGATAAGTAGCAGGACTGAAGGGGCAGCAGCTAACCTCCTCCCATCTAATTTTGCTACAGGTTTTTCCTTGCACAGGCTGGAAAGCAGGCGGGGGGGGGGGGGCAATGACAAGACATGGGATGGGTTTCTCCTCCCTGAACTTACCAGGCTTCTGATGTTGACTATCACCCCCTCCAGGAAGTCCTCCTCTCTGTCCTGTTATTTTGCTGGACCCAAAAGCGGACAGCAAGTAGAAGGGCTGGACTGATTGCAGCAAGCCCTGGGAGAGCCAGAGAATGGCAGAGGGTGCTCAGGGGCCAGGAGCAGACCAGAGCAGACCGGCCCCTCCTCACTCCAAAAGCATCCTTTGGGAGGAGCGGAGAAGCCTGGCGGGGCCGCCCTGGGTCTCGCTGGCAGGCAGGCAGGAGGCTGATGACTGGTCTGGCCCGTTCTGGCTCTGGCCTCCTCTCTGTTCTCCTCTCTCTCAAAGTTACTCCCAGAGCAAGCCTAAGTCCCAGATAGGGCAGCCGGGACTGTGGCCACAGTCAGCCCCAGCGCTCACACCACTGTGGGCTTTACGTGCCCTCCCCCCAACCACACACTTTGGGGGAAAGGCAGCAGGGCCGATTCTGATTGGCCAAGCTGTGGGAGGGGGGGGGGAGAGGTGGAGCAGGGCGGGTGGACGCGTGTGTCTGTTTTCAATTTCAGGGTTTCCCCCCCTCTCTTTCTTTTCCCCCAAGTTTCTTGTTTTTCTTCCTCCTTTCCCTGTGCTCCCTCCCTTCACTAGCTTGCTCAGGGTGTGAGGGGATGTTTAGAAATTCCGCTGCCCACGCCAGCCACTGAGTCACTTTCTTAGAGTGGCCTGCTCCACTTGCCTGATGGCCGTCAAATGGGGCCTCCCTTCACTGTGGCACCTGGTGTGTGTGTGTGTTTCCTGTGCCTCAGTTTCTCCATCTGTAATGGAAGTGCTGGTGATCTGTGTAGTGAACTCAGCATCCACTCAGTGAACATCTACCCTGTGTGAATATTGGGTGCTGGGACTCTGTAAGAAAGGATTTAGCTCAGTGGTAAAGCACTTGCCTAGCAAGCACAAGGTCCTGGGTTCGGTCCTCAGCTCCGGAGGGGGGGGGGAGACAAAATAACAAAAAGAAAGAGTCTGAGAGACATTCTCAGACAAGCAGCTAGCTACCCACTGGAGGAGTGGCGGATGATGCACTAGAGGAAGACCCAAAGTAGGCTGGGGCGATCAGACAGCACTTGGTCATCGGGCCTTTAGGACTGCTACCTCTGAGTCCTGACTCTTCACCTGGGCCTGGGGCTGTCTCTGCTACCTTAAACTTTGGGTCTCATTCCTATCCATCTCTCATACTGATGAGCCGGTCATCAAAGGAGGGCCTGACTAAACACTCACTCCAAGATAAGAGCAGCTCAGAGTGGGGAAGCAGACTGCGATCGAGACAGGCGCACCAGAAGAATCCAAGCATGATGGGAGCTGAGTTTCCCTCTCAAGCTGTGGCAGCTTCCCAGCAGCCAGTGGGACCTCACAGGACCAGCCCTGTGATCACGATGAGCCAGACCACAGGATGATGGGAGACAGCCTGGCTTACACACCCCTCCTCTTAGTCCCTGATCTAGATTATTCCCCTCCAGCTCTTGTTAGTACCACAGACAGGGCTCTTCTCAGTGTGACCACCCTGGAGCTACACATTTCTGACTGAGTCTCCAGGTAGACTCCAGGCAGTGGTGGCAGAGCCTGGTGTTTTAGGCTCTGGTGTCAGGTCTCTGGCCTGGAGCTCCTGAAACTCTCCCAAGAAGGATAGCATCTGTCTCATTCTCCCCAAAAGAAACAAAGGCCCAGAGGTAAACTGACACAGAAAGGGACATGACTTGCCCAAAGTCACCCAGCCCAGTGCCTCACATGTTCATGCTCATTCCCTTTTAGCATCTTAAAACCCTCGAGGGAACAGGAAAGGGATTATTTACCCTGTTTTATAGCAAGGAAACAGAGGTACACATTCAATAAGCTTCCTGAGCTCACATGGCAACAGCAAGAGTGGAAGGCGGGTTTGTCTGGAGCCACACCCACAGAGACAGGTGCCCTGCAAGCCTTCCCCCTGGCACGCCCTGCTTAGCTGCTGAGGGGGGTACCACCTACGGTGTTCCTGTCCATCTCACTGTCCCTCTCCCCAGAGCCCCTGGCTGATTCTCTTCCACACCTACCTCTAAATCCCTGGTTTTAGACTACTAGCCCCCAAAGATCCACTGGGTATTGTTTCAAAAGGGCTCAGAGACTTGAACAGAGCCACCGCCCCCACTCCTGGGGAAGCCGGGTTCCAGGGTTTGGAGAAGGGGTAGCCCAGATCTTGCCCAGGTAAGTTCTGCCCTCTTCCCACCATATCTGTGTACCCCACACCCCCTCTTCTCCAGTCCCCCCCAAGGTCTCAGACGGGGGGGGGGCATCTTCTTGTCTTGCCATCATTCCTTTGTCCCATCTCAATAGCAATTGCTCAGCAGAGTACTGGCAGGACTGCACGGAAGAGGAGACTCTGCTTGGCCCAGACCATGTAGGGTAGCGAGTGTCTAGGAGGAATGCCTGACCCAGGGCTTGGTGTCCACAGGGTCATGGGGGAGCATGGATGATGCCAAAGGTCACAGGGTCAAGACTACATGGGATTTCCTGTGCCAAAGACTCTACCAGAAATTGTTAACTCCTGGGTTTGAGCCCCAAATCACAAAACAGAAAGAGAGATGTGAGGGGGAGAGGGGGAACTATACCCCAGAATTTTGCTTGGTTATGCCTCTCAGACCTCAGACCAATTGCAGTGACCAGAATCGCTTGCAGGAAGGAAAGAGGCATGTCAGCCAAGTAAGGGCACCTGGCTCAGTTTCTCAGCTGAAATCGCTGCTGCACAAGGACTTTGGGGTTCTGCTGCAGGGCCCCCTCATGGCTGGACACTGACTAGGCAGGTCCTGGGGCAGGGGACAGCTGGGGGCCAAAGGTGCAGCACAGAGGGGGGGAGTGGTAGCGGTGGCTCCCCAGGGGAAACTGGGGCTGCCGTTTCCGGCCAGCCTAGCCGTCCACTGGCCCATCTGGAATCGTTTAGTTCTACCACCATTAACCCTTGGTGGGCACAGGAGCTGTTTTTGCTCCCATTGATGACAGATGGGGGGCAGGAGATACAGAACTACACAGAGTGCCACAGGGTACTTATTATGAAGGCCTGGATCACGAGGCTAAACTGTCACAACTAAGGGTAGATTTGGCACCCAGGGACTAAAGTCAGGTTCAGATTCCAGCCTCTCCGCTCCAGGCTGGAGGACCTGAATGAGTCCCCCAGTTGCCCAAGCCTCAGTTGTCTGCTCTAGAACACAGGTAAGTCTGGGCTGAGGTTGTCCCTGTCCTCCAGGGCAGCACAGTTCTAGGAAGAGTGACAGAAAAAAGGGTGACTTCTCTCGTTTGAGGGTATGCCATCACCACGTGCTTCCGCCCTCCAGCGCACTCAAGGCTTCTTCCTCATCCTGTAAGGATCAAGTAGCACTGTGGATCCTGCTGGGGTGGCAAGTATGGTCCCAGCCCCACTGTGGACAGAACAAACCATGCACATCTACTCCCTGCCCTCAAAACCCACCGGTAAGGGGAAGGCTACTAACAGTGGATGATGGGTACAGCTCAGAGGGGGTTCTAGGCCTTGGGGCTCCACACTTCTCACCCCCACAGTCTGGGGGTATACTCAAAGGGTGAGGGCCTGAGCTCAAAGTTCCAAACCAACCCAGTTGCTTCTTAGCTGTATGACTGGAAGGATTGCCCCAGCCTCGGGACTTTAAAATCAGGACAGGAAGGCCCGCCTCACATGCTGTGAGAGGCATTGAGTGCAAGACCCACACAGGTCTGAGGCAGAACAGTAAGACTGCTACAAAGGATAACGGACCCTCAGGTATTCCCAGGGGCTGCTGTCCCAGGAGTCCATGATCAGAGCTGGAGGGAGGCCCCTCCACCCACTCATTTTACAGTCAGGGTAGGGGGTCATGACAGAAGTGGCTGACTCCAGACCATGTGATCCTGCAGTGTAGGCGTAGATGCGATGGCAACAAAGACTTGCCCTCAACTTTTACACTCATGTTCTGCTCTGGACTACGTGTAACCCCCAACGTCTTCCTCACCATCAGAACAGGAAGCAGTGCTCCACAGGGTGAGCTGAGGAGCCGGAAGGGGAGCCCCCATGGGAGAAGTCCCTGCGGGCCAGCTCAGCACTCACAAGGCAGGGCCAGCAGCCACTACAGCTGGCTCTCCCACGCTCCTGGACCTGCCCTGAAGGCTCCCAGGACAGGCACAGGGTGTGAGGAAGCAGCACATGTCCCAGACCTTAGTGAGATCATCTCCAGCATCAGAAGAGTGCCCTCAACAGTGGTCCACTGGACAGAGGATAGAGGGCTTGATGGGGAGATGCCTGAGCTGCAGGATCCACAACCCGATCCTAGCATCCTTCCCTACAACACACCTTGAGCAGATAGGTAGATCCTCTAGCTGCAAAGTCAGAGGCTTAGAGTAGAAATCACAGCATGGTGACACTTTGAGCAGGAGAGCAGTGGGGACATGAGTCACCTTCCACAGAGATTGTTGGGACTTTTCCTATTGGGCCAGGATGTAGGTAGTGAAGCATGCCAGGATGGCAGGAGATTTGGAGTTCAAGACATGTCCATTCACACTTACTCCTAACCAATTCTCCCCCATGCTTAGGACCACAGGGCACTGTGATAACCCTCCTACCACACAGAGGTCTTAAAGTCATCCAGCAGCAGGACCCTTGAAGGCCATATTGTTTCGCCCTCATGAGAGTACTGGTTCTTAAGATCCAGAGGGGGGCAGAGCCTGCCTGAAGGCACATAACAGGTCTTCATTCCTACTCCCAGGCTGTCCTGTTTCTCCCATCATGCATCTGCAAGAAGGAAGTTCACTATGTGACCTCCCCACTCCCCCATCCCTCAGAACTCACTAGCAAACATCAAGGAAACAATAATAATACTGGTTTGTGGTTGGTACAATAAAAGAGATACAGAGAACGCAGGGTTGGGCAGACGAGGATTCTTGTTCCGACCTCAGAAGCCCCTTCAGGGAAGACATATTTCAACTCCAACCCGAGGTTGAAAGGTCACACATGAAGCAAGAATGGGAACAGTGCTTGAAGCAAAGGGAACAGCCTTTGCAAAAATTTCTGAGGCTAGAAAGACTTTGATAGATCAGAAGAGAGAAAAGGTAATGCTGAGTTATGTAAGGATGGGGAGGTTGTTTGGAGGGGCAGCATGAAGGCCTTGGGGGCTCATGGGAGCCTGGCTTTTACCCTGAGGTCCAGCTTAGGCATGGACAAAACCAGGTAGCTGAGGTATAGAGTGGAGTTTGAGGCTAGGCTGGGCTGTTGGGGAGCTTTCCAGCAACTGTGAGTCAGAGTTGGACCCTCTGGGTCCTGTCTGACCTTTGACCACTTTTGCTCCTGGCACATCGCTGGGCAAAGGACCCCTTCTAATGAGGACATTCTGTACTTGCTCTGGTTCTGGTATCTCCTTTGGTTCCTGGTGCCTGGAGAAGGAGATTGCCTCTGTTTCCCAGAAGAATAAGTGGCCTCTGTCATCTGCAGTAATGACTAATTCCTCTTGTAACACTCTAGAGTGACAGCAGGTGGCGACCTAACCTCTAGAAGGACAGAAAGAGCAGTGGATAGGGTAGGCGTGACTATCAGAAAGGCAAAAATGATTCCAGGAAACCCCTCAGGCCACATCGAGGTTTACCTCTGCCTCTGGACAGCCAACGCCACCCTGAGGTGAAGCAGAGATCCAGGGAAGGGATCTGACCTGCCCAATGCCGCAGAGCCAGGTTGAAGCTTGGTTGGCCCTTGGTCTGCTGTCTATGGAAAAGGGCTCAACTGGATAGGGGAGGGAGCATGGTGCCTACCAGCTTCTCTTAAGCAAACCATTTTCAGCAGAAACTGAGCCCCAAATCTTTCTCTTCCAGGGCCATAAACCAAGTTATCAGTGAGATCTTTATGAGGCCTGCATCTGGGCACCCCACCCCAGGAGGCTCTGGTGTGAGAGCAGCCTGGAATGAGAGCTTCCAGGGGGAAGAGGGAGGAAGGAGGGGCCCAATAAACAGCCACACCCAGAGATAAGGGGGCTTCCCAAAGGAAGAGGCTGATTTAGGATAGGTAGGGACCACGCACAGTGGTTTTGGCATCTGCTGCCACCAGTTCTCGTGGGCGCATGTGAAATCAGGGCCCAGGGGCTCAAGGTCAGATAGCAGGTCAGGGAAGGAGGTGTGGAGGCTACAGTTTCAGACTGTGGCATTTAAATAAAGTTACAATATCTTTAGTTATGGAACTGGGGGCATTTCATCCATGATGCTAAGGCCTCTGATGAGGTGGTCCACCAGGGGTGAGGGTGGGGGGAGCCTAGAGGCTCTTTTGCATGAAGAAGCCTGAGGAGGAAGAGGAACCAACAATTTGTTTAAGCAAAATCCAGCTAACACGTCCTGGGGTGGGGAGGCAGACACATTCGGGGGTCACTCTCTGTTTACCAGTCAAACACCTCTGAGGGAAGAAAAAACATCCAGATAGGTCATTGACTTGCTATGTGACCTCAGGAAGGTAACTTTACCTCTCTGGATCTGTATGTTCATCTGAAAAAGAAAGGGGGGGGGGATACTGATCTCCTCTATTTCCCTGGAGGGTGGCGAGGATGGATCCAAGTGATATGTGCTTGGTGTGAGACCTCACTCTTAGTTAGCACCTGCTCAGTGAGTAGAAGTGCCACTGTCACAAACCAGTCTGCCATCTCAGAGAGAGGCAGGGAGTTCTCAGGAAGGGTGGTGCACTCCAGGAGTGCCTGCAGGTTCCCTGACTCTACTCTCCCCTGCTATAGTCCCCTGCTACCTCTAAACCACTACCAAATCCTGGCTATGCCTCAGCCACTCAGGGTCCCTGTGCAACTTCTCTCTCCAGGCACAAGGGGTCAGGTGGGCCTCTCAGATGGCCCCCTGCTCTCCACTCAAGATTGGGTTGTCAGTTCTAGGGGAATATGCATTCCTTGAGCCCTCAGGGCCTCTGTTCAATCTGACCCTTGGACTATAGCACCCTTCCCTACTCCCCAGCACCCCCCCCAGTCACCTCCTTCTGCAAGAATTCTCTAGCCTCCAGTTCTTGAGCAATACCAAGGCACAACATCCCTTTCTTCACTGTGGACACTTAATTCACACCTGGTCCCCAGCACTGAAGGCCCCTTTAAGGTAGGGCATCATTCCATACTGAGCATGGTGCCTGCACAGTCTGTACATGTCAAATGAATGAATACAGGAATAAATGAATTTCTAATCTCAAAATGCAAAGCCTCTTGACTAGGTGTGAACGAGGTTACTTGGGATTAGCAGCCACCAATCCTCTGCCCTCCCCTGAATGGGATCCCTCTGGATAAAGCCAACGGTCCCTAGTACACCTACCTCCCTTGGTGGTGAACTCAACTCTCTGCAGCCCCTAATTCATGCTCACCTACAGTGAGTACTTCATTCTGGTCAGGTAAGTCAGACCCCATGCCAGCAGCCTTCCTGCCCTTAGGCCTCGCATTCCCTGCCAGCTCTTTCTTTACTTCCCACAATAGGAGCAGTCTTAGCTACCCCAGCTGAGAGCAAAATTCCACCCTCCTGGGCTTCATCTTCAGCCTCTGTGTATTTCTTGGTTGGGCTCTCAGTGGAGCCCAGAACACAAGGTGTCTTCTAACCTGGGGTTGTGGTGGCCTCCTCTGCTGAGATGGCTGTCAGCTCCCCTGTGTCATCAGCCTTCATTATGAAGCATGAACTGGAGTTTTGCCTTTCCCTCCCTGGGTCTCCCTGCTTCCATGGGCATTCAAAGTGGTGCAGTTTCCCTTGAGCAGGAAGGGACCAGTAAGCTTACTGCTATGTGTAGTGTGATTGTGACTAGGGACACCTTCTTGGACAGGTCATCTGTGCAGACACAGGGCTCAGCCTGAATCCCACCACCATGAAATTCTAGGTCGGTTCTGAACAGCATACCTGGCATCTTCATTTTGCACTGTCCTCCAGCAAGTTACAGTGTGACCTTGACTCATCTGCCTGGCTTGAGGTGCTGCCAACAGGCCCTGTAAAGAAAGCAAAACAGCTAAGACCTGGTTCTGCCTTCCTGCACACCTCATGGTGCTAGAACAGGAGAGAAGATCAAATCCCAGAGGATTTGTTCCCTCCCTGGCCCTGAGCACCATGTGGAGAGTGTCTTCATCTACTCTAGCTTTCCTGACCCAGAGACATAGCCTTTCTGACTCCCTCCCCAACTCCTCAGCCATGCCTCTTCTCACTCCCAGTCTCAACCACCCTTTTCCTGATCAAGGAGCTCTGGAGCATCTGCCTGTCTTCAGTGGAGTAGGAAACAACATACACAAACATTTAAGAAGGCACCGGGGCCCCATCCATAACCAGTGAGGATTCATCAAGACAACTGCAAAAAACACATATTTTCCCCTAATCAGTTAGAGCACGTTGCATATAAACTGCATTAGATAATAAATACTCAGGAATTTGTTCGTGTATTTTAGAGATGCAAGCTGACACGTGTAGGGGTAAAACGACAGGAAGCCTGAAATTTGCTTTAAAATGCTTTAGAAGAAAAGGCAGTAGACAAGAAAAACAGGTGGCAGAAACCTGGTAATTACAGAAGCAGCATGATGGCTCCATGATGCAACTCTGTTTTCGTGTGTATTTGAAACATCTGAACCACAACAATAATAAGGAAAGGGAAGGAGCCATGGAGAGTCTGTGAAGTTTCCCAAGGTGTCCCCAGGAGACCCCCTGGCCCACACCTTTGAGAAATTTCTCTGTGGATCCAACAAGGGAAACACACTCAGAAGCATGCAGACTGGCTATCTGCATATGCACATTTCCCACAGCTTTCATCTGGGACCCGAGGGGGTCATGACCCTTGCTCCCCCAAGACGCCCTCTACCTTACAGACGGAACCCCGTTTGAAGTCAGCCTGGCTCTCCCCCCCTCACCTCAAGCTAGTGGTCACTGGTGACAGCACCACAGGCTCCATGTGCTATGTGAGGCTGGCCTAGGGTCGTCCCCCACCCCCACCCCCGGTCCCCGGAACCAGCTTCTCCACCTGTAACCCGGGATCGGCGGTGGGTACCTCCCAGAGACCACCGAAGGAGGAGTAGGAACTTGAAGCGGTGCCTGAACCCTTCCCCAGGCCGCGCCCTCTGGGTCCCCAGCCCCCAGGCCCATCCACCTCCTGCTTAGGGCGGCAATTTGTCTCCTTTTGAACCCCCTCGCCCGACGGGCTTCCCCCTTTGATTCGCGGCCCCGAGGCTTCCCCCCGCTTTGAAATGCAAAGCCGCCCGGCTGGGGCCGCGGACAGCCCGCGGCTATAAAAGGCCGGGGTGGGGCGGGCGCGGCGGCGGCCGCGGGTCCAGGTGAGCAGTCGCTGGTCGTCGGGGCGGCCGGCCGGCACGGCGGCTCCAGGGCCCAGCATGCGCGGGGAACCCTGCGGTCACCATGTACGTGGGCTATGTGCTGGACAAGGACTCCCCCGTGTACCCAGGCGCCGCCAGGCCTGCCAGCCTCGGCTTGGGCCCTCCGGCCTATGCGGCCCCCGGCCCGGCGCCCGCACCCCCGCAGTACCCCGACTTCGCGGGTTACACGCACGTGGAGCCGGCGCCCGCGCCCCCTCCGACCTGGCCCGCGCCCTTCCCTGCGCCCAAGGACGACTGGGCAGCTGCCTATGGCCCGGGCCCCGCGGCCCCCGCCGCCAGCCCGGCCCCGCTGGCCTTTGGGCCCCCTCCGGACTTTAGCCCGGTGCCCGCGCCTCCTGGGCCTGGGCCTGGCCTCCTGGCGCAGTCCCTCGGCGGCCCGGGCGCACCGTCCTCTCCAGGAGCGCAGAGGCGGACGCCCTACGAATGGATGAGGCGCAGCGTGGCGAGCGCAGGAGGCAGTGGCAGTGGTAAGGACCCTTCTCCCGCCTGGGCCTTCAGACGGGCTGCTGGCCCTGGCAGGTGCCCAGCGAGGCCCGGGCTGCCCTCTCTTTGACCTCTGCCTTGGCCTTGACTGACTTCTTAAGAATGTAGTCCACTATTACTCCTGTCCTGGAGAGTCATTCATTTATTTAGGAGCTGTGAGAGCTTTGAGTAACCCAAATGAATCTTTCTGTGTAGCCGGGGAAACTTCTACCCGTGAAGAGAGGCTATGGAGTGGCAATGCCAGAATTAGAAAGCCAGATGCCAAGTCTCTGCAGCAGCCCAGGCACTGGTGATCTTCCCTAGCTTCTACTCCTAAATCCGCCACACACACACCCAAGCACCTATCCACTGTGGGAACGCGCACAGGTCACTTCCTCTTCAGGGCCAACTGGCTTCCTACCCTACAGAGAAGAGATAGGATCCTATCCTTTGGTTGACAAAGCCCCCTTTGGTTGCCTTGGTCCAGGGGTCCTTACCTAGCCTCCCCAGGACTCTCCCTGAACTCTTGACCCCGGGGGAGGGGCAGTAGGAGCAGTTGGGAAGGTGGCTGCTGTTTGGTCCTTAGCCTGTGAAGCTCCTGCCCCCAGGCAGGCCTCTCTGATCCACCCTCTTCAAAGGCAGGAGAGGGGGCTGGACAAAGGCTCAGCTTAATGAGGGACAGCCTGACCTTTAGGGGTCCCCTCTTTGTCATGTAACTGGCTTTGCTTTAGCTCAGTAGTGACTCCTGTTGGCAGGAAAGTGAACAGGATACCTCATTGTCCAGATTGTGTTTGGCCTGTCCTGACAAAGGCCACCTGGCCTTGAGGGCGGGAAGGGGCCTGCCTACTCTTTGATGTTCAGCCCCTCCTTCCCTTCCCCCAGCTGGGAACAGGCCTGGAACTTCCTCCTCTCCCTTCCCTCCATTTCTCCCACACACCCATCAATCCCCCTGGGCAGCTGTGGGGAGGGTTTGATCAGTAGCTGTAGGCCCAGGTTGTAGTCACACTTCTCCTTAGAAATCCAAGGGACACAGAAGCACCTGTCTGAGTCCAGGGATAATTGAGGGGCAAGGCTGGACGACTTACTTCTGTGCTTTGAGTAATAGTAGCTAATACTATGGAACTCTTACATGAGATACTGCTATGGGTGCTGTCTTCTTTCCGTTTGGAAGTTGAAGAAACTGATGGCAAATACCGGCCCAGGGCCACAGCCAGGAACTGGTGGGGTATACTGAATACCATACCTGTGCCCTAATCCTCTGTACAACCCATTCCCTGGATGACTCACCTTTTCTGGGTCTCATGTTTTATGGGCAAAGAAACAAGGGACAGGGGAAGGTTACGTGGTGGTTCAGACACTGCTTCAAGGTACAAAAAACTCTTTAAAAAGCTGATGGAGAAGAAAATGTTTTATCCCTGGGTAGACGTGTGTGTGGGGGCCCTCTGAAGCCTTATTCATGAGGGTAGGGAAGGGCTTCATATTGAGTGATAGGAAGGACATATAGGGGCCTTGACCCCCAGCACCCTATGGTCTGCTGTGAAAGTCTGGGAAGTCACATTTCTAATCTCCCACTAGCCACTTCCTATTGGTCAGGTGGCTCTGGAGAAGGATGAGGAGGTCCCCCTCAGGTAGAACCTTGGAGAAAGACCATCATTGTGAGGCAGTATGAACAGGAAGGAGGGGGCAAGCGGTGTAGTAATGGAATGGAGAGAGTCTGCCAACTGTGTGACGTCTGAGGTCATACAAACCTCATTTACCAGTGGGTATGAACTGCCAAGACCAGCTCTGCTCTAGTCCACTGTCACTTATGGATTGTTTCCTGCCTGCAGATGAAGCCGTGGATGTCCAGAGGGGTTTTTCCTTAGCTTTAAGAGTAGAATGCAGGGCTTCAGGCTTAGGTCCCTGCAGCTCCAGGAAGGGGCTTCTTGGGAACCACACATTTGGCTGAGCATGCAGGAGTCTAGGCCTTCTAATGTGTTCAAGCTCTAGACTCTCCCCAAGAGAAAAGTCTTACCCCCCTCACCCTCTTTGGCTCAATTTCTCCTTCTGGGCACTGAAGGCACAGGTTTCCAGAGGGGGCTTTTGTGCAATGCTGTTGTAGGGGACAGCCGAGGGAAGTGCTGTGTGCTTCGTCCTCCAGAACCCAGTGACACTGGCCACACGGTCTCCAGTCTGCCACCTTGCTTCTTTCTGAGCTCCTGACATCTGCATTGAATGGCTAAAGGACAGATTTACAGACGAGGAGAGTGAGGTCCTGAGGCTGTGAGGGATGTTCCAGATGCAGATGAATCTGTGTAAATGTATGTGGTTTCCCATCCTATTTAGGATGAACAGACTGTGAGATTCTATAGCACCCATACTTTCTTCCTCCCCCTCTGGCCCTCCCCCTGGGCCACTCCCCTCGGCCACTGTGCTCCAGCACCCAACTCTCTTTTAACTCCCCAGGCCCTTCAAGTCCCACTTCAGGTCTTGTGTACATGTTCTTTTCTTTCCCCTGGGACTCTGCGTGCCCGGCTCCTTCTCACCTTCAGTCCATAGCTGGATGAGAGGCCTTTGTGATCCCCAAATTAGACTCCCCAGCTCCACCCCTTTTGATGACTTCTACTGGGTATCCTTTAGAACTATTCCAATTTGTCCTCCCACTTCCATGTATGTTTGCATGATATCTGTTCAAAAGAGGTCCAGAGCCATGTCTGTCTGACCCAAAATTGCTTGGGAGCACAGCACCAGCTCTGGGCCTGGCATTAATATGTGCTCAATGCATTCAGCTGGATGGATGAACTGGAAAAGCAAAGGGGCAGGAGACATCTCAGGAGACCAGAGGAGAGGAAAGATCTCAGATTCTACAAGTGTCTAGGGTCCCTCCCTGGGGGTTGGACCCATGAATATCCAGGCATCATTTCAGGCTAGTGGTTGAAGCTTGGCTGCCCTCCCCATACTTGGCCAGTGCTCCTGACTCCAAGCAATCTGAGTAGCCGAGGCCAGATTGTGATTTGATTTAGTCTTATTCTAAGAAAGGTGCCAGACATAGGAGTGGGGGCAAGGGTGGACTTCAGTTAGGTTGCAAGACATGAAGAAAGTGTTAGCTGGTTCTGAGGGAGCCATGTCACTTCTGAAGCCAACATGCAAATGATTCCAAGGGGTTCTGTTGTCTGCCTTGCCACTTGTGTTTAAAATATGAGTGCTTCTGTCAAGAGGGTATAATTGTCCTTCACCAGGAGCCCTGTGCGATCCCTTGTGACTGAACACTGATTTACAGGGCTGGAAGATGTCTGCCCGGATGATGGGGTTGCAATGGGCTTTAGATCCTATCTAACCTCCTCAGCTTCAGATGGGGGGAAATTTGGCACAAAAAAGGATACCCCCCCACTTTGCTCCATAGCCACAACCACTAACCTGGACTTTCACCTCTGACCTTTCATGCATGTTCTGCCCATCTTCTAAATCACTGTCAAACCTCCCTTATTGGGGCACATGGCTGCTCAAGAGCAACCCCTGGATGCTGATTCTGAGGCTTCTAGAGCCCTTTTGAGAAGTGATCTCAACTCAGTGTTGAAGACTCTTGTTAATTTGCTTAGAAACCCAGGGATTTATTGGAGACTGTTAGAACTTGAAGCTTGGGAATCTTACCTCTGGGATTGCATTTCTCATAGATGCCACCTAGTCAGAGGCACATTAACTTGGATTCCCCACCCTCTCCTTTTCTCTCCTTCTTAAAAATAATTTTATTTATTAGCATGGGGGGAGTTGTACGCCACAACACCTATGGAGTCCAGAGGCTGTGCAGAGTCTGTTCTCTCTTTCCACTGTTATGTAGGCTCTAGGACTCAAACACGGATTGTCAGGCTTGAGTAGAAAGTGATTTTATCCTCTGAGCCTTTTCACCTTTTCTAGAATATTTCTAGAAACCATGGTGTTTGCAAAGCACAGCCCAGCATCAGACAGGTAGCCGATGCTCAGGGGCACTTTCCGGCAGGCAGTACAAGCAGGCCTATGCATCGCTCTTTCTGCCTTTACATCCTGGGCCCTTTATCTGCCCTGCCCTCTCCTGCCTCTACTGCATCTTTACTAGTTCAAATGCAGTGCCTTCCTCAGGACCACCTCCTCCTCTAGGAAACCCTTCTTGATTCTCCCCCACTCAAAGTGTAGCACTTGGAGTGAAGGGCAGTTATAGCCTCTTGTTTTAGAAATCTCTATTACTAGCAACTTCTATCCAGTTGCTTGTTCCTGCCAATTGCCATCTATAATCCAATTAAGGACCAGTCTTATTCAAAACCCTCCTGCCCTGGCTTGCACATAGTAGGGGTTCATCATGAAACCACTCTGCAAAGAACTACTTTTGGGTCGCTTCGCTTAGGTCTCATAACTACTCCAAGAGATGAAACTACTCCAAGATTGAACATATTTTTACAGATAAAATTGAAGAGGCTTATAGAGGCCACATGGCCTGTTCAAGCTTACACAACTAAGGTATTGTAGCATATGCTCCATACCCTAGCCAGGATCCACAGCCTGCCAAGGGGTCTGTCAAACAAAGCAATGTTCTCTAGCCCATGATCTCTCCTATGCAGCCTGCTTTCCAGCCAGTGCCCACCCAGGTGAGCAGAAAGAGGCCAGCAGGGAGGAGCTGTGTGAGGTGGGAGAGGATGGGAGGGGGAGAAGAAGAGGGAGAAGGAAAACTGTGTCTTTAAAGCTGGCTTTCCCTGCAGCAGAAGCCGTACCTGACACCTCAGCTCTCAGATGTAGCTGGGGATGACCTAGTTAGAAAGTGGCAGATTTTTGTGTTGTGGACCGTGTCTGTCCCCTTCCCCCAGCAGATCTTATGCTTAGAGCCTCAGGAGTCCTTCTGACATCCAGACAGCTTTGTTAGCATCAGGAACCAGCTTTTGTGAAGGAAGTCACTTAATTGGCATGCTTGCTTTCTACATGCCTGCTTTGGGAGCAGGAATCATGTTATTGCCGAGTACCTAACATAGTCAGGATGAAATGAGCTGGCATCTCCCCG